GGATTTGGGGAGTTTACTCTAGTATAGGGTAGCAAAATTTAGCTGAACTAGCTCTGGTATAGGCTAAGGGTTCCAGGGTCCCAGCGGCACATCCTCACTCAGAAATTCCCAAAGTACCTTCCCCGGGTCATGCATGTCGTAATTACTTTTTGTAAAACACGTGATTTGTATTAAATGATGAATTGTATCATACCTCTTATTTTAAATAACATTATTGTTACATCATAGGTGGATTTGAAGTGTGTAACTGCAAACATTGGTGGTTATTACTACAAAGGTCACCTTCCAAGTCTAGGCCAAAAGGTAAGAAATTCATCTCAAACATGGATAAAATTTAAAACCAAGGAAACCTTCCTAGCTTTAAGTGCAAGCCTTGACCACGTGCATTAAGCCATTGTACAGAATTCAAGCAAAAATGATTCAATCAGCATTAGCGACATGCAGTTATTATATAAACGAAAAGCTCATATCCCCCTCAGTCAATGAGATCTGCTGACTATGTTCAGATTTTCAGAAGTTATTGTTTTCATCAGGTCTTAGCAACAAAACTTGATAGTTCATTGCAGGTTTTCAATAATTAGAGCAGGTATTGAACAAAATGTGCATGTATGTCTTCTTTTTATCTCTTTAGAACAAGACCCATGATATGAGCTGGATGATTAGAGCTGAAAATGCAAAAGTAAGTAAGGTGTAAATCAAAATGAATGGGTTAAATGTAAACATAGCGTCAAATAGAGAGGATAATGTCTACCTATGCTAAAGATTTAAAGTGTCTCCCAACGCTTTCGATTTCCAGCATTTCCAGCGCTTCTTCTTTCATGAATCAATGTTACAACTCTTTTAAAGTTGATGGTATGAAATTGGTACAAAACAAATGCATAATCATTGGTAGGCAAATTGTGGTGAGTTTCGTGACGCAAAAGGTTATCTTAGCAACAGTATAACCCTTTAAAAGTCCTTTAACTTAAGCTTAATTTAAAAGTGCTGATAACTTCAAATTATTATTTCAATTATTTCAATTATTATTATCAAATTGTAATCAGCAAAGAAGAAAAACTTTGTCCGAAGTCTTGAGCCGTTTCAAGGCTTGGAGCCCGTTTCTCGAAAGCCCCGGAATCTTTTCGGGCCCGAAAAGCCATTTTTGGTTAATCGGTATTTAAAGACAGACCAGTGTATACGCCTGAAACTTCTTGTATGAAGAGAACGTCTGTTCGTATTAAGAATATAGGAATAAAACAGCTTTGTAATCAAAAGGTTTGAGATTTTGGTACGGCTTTTCGGGACCTTCGAGAAACAGGCCCCAGGGGTAAAGTTTTTCTCGATACGGACCGACCCGGCAAAGGCGGAAAATCATAACCAAAAGATTTTGAAATCCGAATATATCTCTCGGCCCGTGCTGTAAATTATGGATCCTCGTTCTTTTCCCGTTTGAGTTATCGTCCAAGCGTTTCGCGCTCGAAAAGGATAAAAACTCGGTCTATAAACTACAGTACGGGCCGAGAACACCAGGTTATTAAGAGGTATTTATGATTCATATCTTGCCTTTTTTTAAACATGTACTGTTTTTTAAACCACTCTTAAGGCATCAAGAAGTGCTTTACACAAAGCCTCAATCAGTGGACAATGCGAGACTGTTAGAATGCTGCTTGAAAATGGGGAAGATGTTGACCAAACAGACATGGTAAATGTACTGTATTTTCCTTTCTTTTATGAAATGGTGCGGGATTCTTTTCATGCGGTTATACCAGTCGGTTAAAGGCAGCCTAAAAGTTCAGAGGGTTCTGACGGCGGAAATGAAGTTGACTTCCTTTATATGTTGAGTTATTCTTCGAAAGCAAACTGGCTACACGGAAATCGTCAAGATATATAAAAGCGAAAATGCGAGGAGAAAATAACGTACAGGAAAAGGCCGGTGGTATTATGAAGTGCAATTGTTGTTTTTAAATCTGGATATACGAGCAGCGTTCAAAACAAACCTAACCTACGTAGCGTGGGTCTAAAGTCTTGGTTGATGATATAACATTAACGGCTAGTTTTGTATTACCGCTATTTT